CGGGGAAGAGCCCTGCAGCAGCGCGTGGGCTGTGATCCCCAGAGCAGCGCGGGGAAGAGCCCTGCAGCAGCGCGTGGGCTGTGAGCCCCAGAGCAGCGCGGGGGGAAACAAGCCCGGAGCATCGCGCAGACAGCGAGCAGGAGCAGGCAGCCCAAGGTAGCCGATGGTGAGTGTGGGAACAGGCAGCCTGAGATGGCGACTGAGGGGCTGAGTCCCCGGAGCAATGGGGTGTGGGGGTGGGGGCAAGTCCTGGAGTAATGCAGGAGCCAAGGAATGAATCCCGGTACAGCGTGACTTACCTTGTTGCTGCTGAGTGCTGGTGAGGAGCGGACTGGAGGCTGGAGCGATGTGGGACAATTCCTGGACTTGGGCCTGGCACCACATGCTGAGCTGCTGTTATCAGAATGTAATTTAAAACTTTTTCACTATGTTGTAACTACCTCTGTAAGTAATGCTTATGCTTTCCTTCAGTCCTCTTTTTGTAAGACCACAATATATTTTTTTGCTCTGTGAGATTTGTACCTAGTTACTTGTACCTAAGATGGTAGCATTAAAAGGCAGCCATTGTAAAAACTTTCAATGTACTCCTATACTTCTGTATTGCAGTACAAGTGACAATAAAGGATATCCTTTCTATTCTACCCATAGGCCCATCTAGTTCCATGGGGGTCTCATGAAAGCTTCTTTTGTTTTAGAAAATATTATTTTTTGTGGCAACGTCAGTTTGCAAGTTTTGGAGCATGCGTAGCAATTGCTCTCACTGCAGTGCATAACCAAGGCTGAGAGCTCCATAGATGGCACTCTTACAGATGTTCTTACACAGCAACTTGAGAGAATGCAGGCAGACAGTAAATGCAGGATGCAGTCAAGGAGGGATGTGGAACCCAGAAACTATTAAGGAAAAACAAGGGACAGAAACAAGTGAGAGTGACAGATAGTAACCAGAATAGGAAACAAATGGTATTCAGTTGAGTCCACAGTAAGTGACAATGAAATATTGCCTAAATTAAGTTTTCCATGCATGTACATAAACACAAAGAGTGTGATAATTAAGATTCTCAATCTCCTCAGTTCTGCATACAAGAGACACCAGCTCTCCTGGAATGTTGTCAAATCAAAACTCATATATCAACTCGGATGTGGCAGTCAAATTCTCTGCCTGGGCCACAATTGAAGAGGAGATCCAATGCTGGATGAGATGTGCCAGCTCAGCCTTATACTAACTAAGGCAGTGAGTGCATGAAAACAAAGACCTGCTCAAGTCAACAGAAATCCTAATGTAGAGTAGTTGTCATCACCACACTCCAATATCGTTGTAAGATCTGGACTGTGAATCCCTAATGCTTAACAATAGGGAGAACGCTTTACCTTTCAGGTCAAACTTGAGAATGGGAAACAGAACACAGAATTCTTCTATGGCAGAATTGTCATACTGGACTTGAAATTTTAATTGTCTTTCACTTTCCACAGCTACCAGACCTGCTGAGTTTCTCCAGCATTTTCTGTATTTGCTTTAGATTTCCAACATTTACAGTACTTTGCTTTTAAACTTGAGAATGTCTTGAACTTTGTTGTCAGGAGCATCAGCGTATAGATCAAGGGGAAGGGTCAGTGAATTCAAACATGAACTCTGCTTTCTCTCCACAGATGCTGCCAGACCTGCTGAGTTTGTCCAGCAATTTCTGTTGCATGTGTTTCAAATCTCCAGCATCTGAAGTTCTTTTAAGAACAATATC